TATCTTATATTACACTGCCCGGCGTCTCCCTTCACCCACCCCTCTGCTGCCCGTCCCCCAGAGAGGAGGTTATATGTAGCTAGGTCACTCCTTCTTAGCCTCTCTTTCTGATCCCTGATCATTTCTCCTTGATTTCTTAAGGCTGGAGCGGCCCAGGTCTCAATTACCCCAGACCTCACGTGTACCTTCTCAGTTCTCTATAGTCACAAATTTAGATAGCTCGTCAAGGCTCTTAACTTCAAAACTCACTGCCATCCTGTCAAATCTGACTCATCGTGACTCTATAGGACAGGGTAGAACTGCTCCTGTGGGTTTCTGAGACTGTACCTCTTTACAGGAATAGAAAGCTCCATCTTTCTCCCAAGGGGCTGGCTGGTGGTTTCAAACTGCTGACCTTGTGGTTAGGAGCCCAACACATAGCCACTATGCCACCATCTTTAAAATAATATGTTCCAAATTTATACCACCAGCCCACATCTCTCCCCCAAATTCAACATTCTTTGATCTGATCCCTATTTGGTATTAAAAAAATTTTTTTTTTCTCCCATCAAGCTAGTTCTGATTCATGGCAACCCCGTGTGTGTGTAAAACAATTGTGCCTGTAGGGTTTTCAATGGATGGGTTCTGGGAGCAGGTCGCCAGGTCTTTCTTCTGATGCCCCTCTGGGGGGGTCTCAAGTCACCAGCCTTTCAGTTAGCTGCAGGCGTGTTACCTGTTTGCACCATCCGGGGATTTCATCCACACTTGTCGTTGGACCTAGGACTGACCGTAAATCCAGAATGGTTGCATCTCAGGGTCCTCAAGTACAGCTACAACGAGTGTCTGCAAGTCAGTGGACTACTGGCAGTTAGGATTCGGACATCTCTTTTGAAGGGAACCCTTCACACCGCGGCAGGGCTCCTCCTCACACGCACGCTCTTCGCGTCTTCTCTGGCCGCCTTGCTTAACATGGCAGCCATTTCCGCACTCCCTGCAGGGCCCGTTCTTTATTCTTTCCTTTCCTTCCTGTTAGCATCTTCTAACGTGCATAGAATTTACTCATTTGTCATATTGATTATCTCTCACTAGCGTAAAAGCCCCTGAAAAGCCAGAATCACCCTTTTGGCTCACGACTGCGTCCTTAATACCTAGAACACGCAGTAAAGCAAAAACCCACCTGCCACGGAGGTGGTTCCAACTCATGGAGCCCCTGTGTCGGGCAGAGTAGAACTGCCCCTGTGGGTTTCCTAGATGGTGAATCTTTAAGGGAGTAGAGAGTTTTGTCTTCCTCCCCCAGAACTGCTGACCTTGCAAGTTCACAGCCCCACAAGTAACGCCCGGCACCTCCAGGGCTCACAGTGGGCCCTCAATAAGTGTTTGTTACATCGCTTCTCTGTTCATGTCCATTGACTGCTTTCTTTCAGGTGCCTTTCTTGAATTGTGTTTTATTTAAATATTAGATTAGATGTATTAAAAATATTATTATTTTGTCTCACTGCCATCAAGTCGATTCCAACTCAGAGCGACCCTACAGGGCAGGGTGTAACTGCCCTTGTCGGTTTCCGAAGACTGTAACTCTTTACGGAAGTGGAAAGCCTCATCTTTCTCCCCCGGAGTTGCTGATGCTTTTGAACTGCTGGTCTTGCAGTTAGAAGCCCAATGCTTACTTCACTAAGTCTTCATCATATCAATGAAAATTTGCGTTTTAACTTTATTTTCATTGTACTACAGGTTTTTCTTGTTACTCGGTCAATTTTATCCATTTCGTCTATAGATTGCACTTTTACCAGCATGTTTAGACACATCTTTTTCTCTCTAGAAATCACATCAATATTCTCCCACATTTCTTTTTAGTTTATCATATATCATTTTTCACACTAAAGTCCAACCGCCTGGAATAAATTTTAAGGTATCATATGAGGTATGGATCTAATTTTCAGTGTTCTCGTGGTTAGCCCATTGTTCTAATACCATTTATTGAATTCTGCATCCTTTCCCCAGTTAATGAAATCTGTTTGTGCTATAGTAAATTTTTTTTGCGCTGGTGGCATGGTGGGTTATGTCTCAGACTGCTAACACAAAGCCAGCAGGTCCCAACCACCAGCCTTTCCGTGAGACACAGCTGAGTTTTCCTGCTCCCATAACTAGTTACCATCTCAGAAACCCACAGGGCAATTCTGCCCTGTTCTGTAGGGTTGCTATAAGTCGGCATGAGCTGATGGCAGTGAATTTTGAGTGAGAAATTATTTTTAAAGAGATTTGTATTCTCTTATTTATCTAATGTATACCTATTTTAATTATTTAATCTTGTATTTAGTAATGTTTATAATTACACAAATGTACTATGTCAATTATTTTTAAAAGGTGAATAAACGCAAAAGGTTTTTAAGAAAATGATTTAAATTCCCTATAATTCATCATTCAAATACAGTATTAACTTTTTAATTTATGGTATTCTTTAAAACTTCTTTGTATGCATCTGTATTATATATTTTACACAAAATATCTTAGTATTGGGTAATGTGCATCTATCCTCTTATCAGTTTTTTTCTTTTTAGCTTCCTTTTCCTAGGTAACTTTAAGAACCTTAGTCAAGATATGTAAAGTTTTATTGTTATTTATATTTTGAATTGGAATTATGTCAAACTTATAATGACTTAGGGAAAACCTACATTTTACCATGTGTATTAAGTTGTTTATAATATTGAAGAGTTCACACTAGGCCAGATCTTTGTTCCTGATTCTTAAAGAAAGCATAACAATGTAGCCTAACACACAGTCACTCAAAATTGTGGTAGAAGACATAGCATGGAGAAGTGTGTACATTCTATTTTTACATACAAAAATCAGATCATTAGACAGTGCACCATAGGAATGTAATAACAGAAAACTAAATTTGAAAATATATAATATTCAGATACATAGAGCTAAACACAAAGGTGTTGATTACAGATGGTAGGTTTATAGTTAATTTTCTAATTCTTTTTTACTCTTGTATATTTTTCTACGTGTACAGAAATGTAGACAGTAACATAAATGTCATTTTCAGTAGACAAAAGTATGGCCACCTGAGTTATCCCAAGGGGCCCTGCCTTCCAATTAACCAGTGTGCTTGAGAAGGCCAGAGGTGTCTTGTTAAATTGCATCTGAATCCATCCCTTAGCACAGACTCATTCTGCCGAACTTTCTCCCCCAGTTATCTGCAAACCATAGAACATGCCCTGGAAGCTGGAGATGTGGTGCTGATTGAAAACCTAGAAGAGTCCATTGATCCTGTCCTGGGACCCCTGCTTGGGCGAGAAGTCATTAAGAAGGGACGGTGAGGCACTTTCGGGAAGAGCTCATTCGCAGCCCTGCTCACCACTGTGGAGAGTTCTGCTCTGCCTGGCATGCCCGATCCTCAGCTCATGCCAAGTAGCTCCTCAGTATGCAAGTCTTCACCCTAAAAGAAGATCTGCCCTCCTCTCCCAGAGAAGGCTTTCTGGAATAATTTGCTTCCAGCTTTCAGTGCCTTTGTTTTAAAAACCACAAGCCGCTGTGCTGTCAGCTCTGACACATGGTGGTTCCACGTGTGTCAGAGTAGAACTGTGTTCCACGGGGTTTTCAGTAACTGATTTTGTCAAAGTAGATCACTGTGCGTTAAGATCATCCCTTGCCTTCATAGGTACTTGGGTTGTGCACAATTGACTTGTTGATTTCCACCCGTGGAAGTCATTCCTTTGTCAGCCAAGAACATTCTCACTGGAAAAGAAAGCCCCGGCAAGACACTTTGTGCAAAAACTGCAAGAAGCTACCCTTTCCGCCAAACACTTTACTGCCCTCTGCTGGAGATGTTTCATAATATACAAATTCCCATTGATTACAGTATGATTGGCTCTTCCCGCTCAACAAACTCACTGCCACAGAGTGCATTCTGACAACTACTAGTGACCCTATAAAACAGAGTAGAATTGTTCCAGTGGGTTTACAACACTAAATCTTCCCAGGAGTAGAGAGCATCATCTTTCAACTGCAGAGTGGCTAGTGGTTTTGAACTGCTGACCTTGTGGTTAGCAGCACAATACATAACGCACTGTCATCAGGGCTCCTTAGCTCTCCCTAGAGTTGTACAAAATCAAGCTTGGTAACTGGGGGACAGAATCTATCATCCTTCTCCCCTGTGTGGACAGTACACATACAATAGTCCTTGTGCTCACCCTAGACAATGCAAGGAAGAACCCATCTGTTTATGTCTCTGTTCGTTTTTGCAATGATCAGAAATGCTATGACTTGGAAAAGCCCATCAAGCGAGTAGCACTAAAACTCTTCCCTTGATCAAAACTCTTCCCTTGCAGAAAGAGAATCCACTTTCACAAAGATCCCTTTGTGTTCCAGATTCATTAAAATCGGAGACAAAGAATGTGAGTACCATCCCAAGTTCCGACTCATCCTTCAGACCAAGCTGGCCAATCCTCACTACCAACCTGAGCTGCAGGCTCAGGCAACGCTGATCAACTTCACTGTGACCAGGGACGGCCTGGAGGACCAGTTGCTGGCTGCCGTGGTCAGCATGGAGAGGCCAGACCTAGAGCAGCTGAAAGTGAGCCAGGGGTTCACTGGGGGAGTGGGGCAGAAACTGCCACTGCTACTGGATCTTGCAAGGCTCCCCACTCGGGGTGTGTTAAGTTGGCTTGTCTAAAGAAACAAAACCAGTGACACTCACGTGTGTATGAGAAGGAGCTTTATGTTAAGATGTAATCTTATATCAAGAAGGCATCCCAGTTCAACTGAAGTTCATGGGTCTGATGCTGGCAGGGCCCACTTCAGACTCACGGAGCTTACAGCCAATGACACGGGAAGGTCAAGCGTGATGCAGAAAGAGTACAGAGTCGAATGGATCCAAGGTCAATGGAAACATGGCAGGGTGCAGACAGCTCTCAATGTCGGGGCCACCCCTAATGGCAGCACAGAGTCTGAGCAAACAGGAAGGTGAAGGGCAGAGAGGGAAGGGAGGTGTCCCTAGCATCTCTTTATAAAAGGCCATACCTCCCAGAAGGCATCATCAGGCTGTGACCTGACTGACAGGTTGGACTCTACCCCTATACAATGCAAGTTGACATAACTCCAAGTGCCACACTGGGGGTGAGGATGAGAAGAAGGAGAGTGGTTTTGTGGCTCTGAGCATAGGGTCCTCGTTCAGCCCCTAGAGGAGCTCCAGCCCCACCTAATCACCAGCAAACACCTAGTAGACAAACTGAAGACCGTTTGAAACGAAGCACAGAGAGGCAGAACACTATAGGAATACTGGATGCTTCCGTGGCCAAAAGGCAGGAGTCCATGGGTAGTGCCAACCGTTAACCCAACTGGCTACTAAGTGAAAGGTTGGAAGTTTGAGTCTACATTCAGAGGTGCTTCACAAGAAAGGCCTGGCAATTGACTTTTTTAAAACATCGGCTACTGAAAACCCTGTAGCACACAGTTTGATTCTGGTACACAGTTCACCATGAGTTGCCATCAACTGGAGGGCCACTGGTGGGTTGTTTTGTTTGTTCCTTTGACTTAAGGAAGCTGTAACTACAGTGTTCTTGTGCAGCCTGTGGTCATTGCCTTTGGATGCAAGCTGCCTGCTTTGTCATGGAAAATACTGTCGGCCTGTTGTTGGCTTCCACCACAGCTATCCTGGCCTCCTGGCATTTCTTAATCTTGCTTTAAGACCAGAATTTTTGTTCTGACTGCCAAAATGTTCTGTGCCCAGATGCTTCAAATTACTTGGGAACTGGCTCAAGTGCAGTATGCTCATGGATGCTCTTTCTAGTCCAAAGCAGAAAGAAGGAAAAGATTTTTTTAAACCCTGCCATCAAGTCAGTTCTCCCACAAAGGATCCTTCCACAGAGGCCCAAGACTGTAAATCTGTACAGGGACAGATGGCCTCATCTTTCACCCTCTAAGTGGCTGGTGGGCTTGAACCCTTGGCTGTAAAATAAACAGCACAGTGCTGACCCTACAGCACCATAAATTAGCCCCTGTCCCTGTCACATTATCCTGTTTACTTTCTTAGTAATTCTCATTACTACCTGAAATGGCATGACTCATTTGTTAACATTCTTATATTTTGTGATCTATTCCTGTACTGTCAGCACTGGGAGAACCTGGTTATTCTTGTTCTTGGTCCAGTCCTAGAACCAGGCATGTTAGAGAGCTGTTGCTCCAATGTATGTGTTGAATAAATGAATAAAGACAGAAAACAATGTTGTAGGGATCCATGAATGCAGTCTCACTTACACTGTCATTTGACCCATGTTATATAACCTAATTATGACTACAGAGAGGAGAAAAGGAGGCTACCCTAATGGGCTTGAACCTGTTTCTATGACCTTGGGGAATCTAACTCTACTGAGTTTGCAATAGGAGCGCTGGTGACATAGCAGGTTACACATTGGCCTGCTAGCCTCAAGGTCAGCGGTTCAAAACCACAGCCACCCTGAAAGAAAGATGAGGTTTCCTACCCTGTAAAGAGTTACCGCCTCAGAAACCCACAGGGACAGATCTACTCCATCTCATGGGGTCACTATGAGTCAGAATTGACTGAATGGTCGTGAGTTTGTTTTTCATGTTTGGTTTTGTTATCACTTGGGAAGTGAGCATGTGAATACATGGGATTAGAGGCGCTCAGCTCTGACCTGACCGTGCTCACAGCCAGCCTTTCCTTAGTGCCTGAGTGCAAAAACTGTTTGCCCAACGCCAACTAACCACACCCCCCATTCTAGAATACCTAGCCTAACAATTAGAGAGGGTGCACGAGATGAGACCTGTTAGGATGCCAACACTCTACTCCAGCCTGGGGGGGGGGGGCTCTTGAAAATATCTCTCAGAACTGTGTATCACAGTTTCTATTGATTTTTTCTTCTCCCCAAGAGAAAGATAACCCCTAAGAGAGTTTTTTAGTTTGAGGCCTTCAGTAATGGCAGAGAGGACCCCCAGAGAATGGAGGTCTGACCATGACCTCAGCCACTCAGAGAAATAAGTTCCATTGCGTGAGCACTGCCTGTGGGAAGGTAGGGGTGCTGGTTTACCCCACTGATGTCACTGACGTGGAACAGCTTCTCTTGGCCTAAGGTCAGATGATTCACGTGGGCTTGAACTCATCCACTTGTGTCTTCTCATTGTCCTAACCTCACGTACTGCCATCAAGCTGATGCTGACTCACAGCGACCCGATATAGGACAGGGTAGAACTGCCCCTGTGGATTTCCGAGACTAATCTTTTACGATAAGACTAGAAAGCTTCATCTTTCTCCCTCAGAGCTGGTTGGTTTTGAACTGCTGACGTTGTGGATCACAGCCCAACATGTAACCACTACTCTACCAGTACTTCTCTTCTTGTCCTAAACACTCTGCTATTCGGCCTTTTTCAGTACCTTTAAAGTAAGGGACTCCAGGCACAAACCCACTGCTGTTGAGTTGATCCCAATCTGTCGCTTCATAGCATTTCCAAGGCTGTAAATCTTTACAGGAGCAGACTGCCACATCTTTCTCCCTCGGAGAAACTTGTGTGTTCAAGCCACTGACTTGAATTCACAGAATTCTTTCCTTCCAAGTGATAGACCTGGGTGCAGTTCCCAGCCAACGTACCTCATGTGTAATCACCACCCATCTGTAAGAGTTGGATTGGGCATTGCTCTAATGCTATGTTCAGTGAACTGTCCAGATTAACAGAGAGGAGGAAGAACGGTTGTGCTATCCACTTCTGAAAATCAGCCAGTAACACCCTGCAGATCACCACAGTGTCATTCACAACTACTTAGAGGAATGGTGTGGGTCTGGGAAGAATATCATTCCATCATACACAGGGTTACCATGAGGTCCACATGGGTGCCAGCTTGCCACGCCAGCAATGTCCCAAGAGTACATGCTAGATGTCTAATTCCTTCTTCCTTGATATCCACAGTCAGACCTCACAAAGCAGCAGAATGGATTCAAAATCACCCTCAAAACGTTAGAAGACAACCTGCTCTCTCGCCTCTCCTCGGCATCAGGGAACTTCCTGGGAGAAACTTCCTTGGTGGAAAACCTAGAGGTCACCAAGCAGACAGCTGCCGAAGTGGAGATAAAGGTACCCCTCCTCTGACAAGTGTGGGAGGCAGCCAAGGCTAGAGAGCACGTGTTCTTCCCCTCAGCGTCTGACTCGACATTTACGAGAAACTAATGAGAGTAGCAGATGGCTTTTCCATCTTCTCAAATGTCTTCTAGAAATTCAAGCCTGGGAAGACTCCTAAATAACTACTTCCCATCCTAGCTGATGGTGTTCCCACCTCCTTGAAAAGGCTTTTGACAATTCTTAATGATTATTGCTTCAAATATCACCTCTCCCTGGTCTTCTTTATTCTCCTTCTCTACTATTTCTGTTGGATGCATTTTGAATCTTCTTGTACTATCTGCCAAGTCTCATAACCTCTCATATGTTTTTTCATCATTATTTTCTGTGAGCAGCTTTTATGAGAATCTCCTTGGCGCTATCTTGTAATCTGCCTATTTTCTTTTCAGTTCTAATCTGTTATTTCCATTTTCCATTGAGTTTGTGCATTGTAATAACTGTTCATATCTTATTTTACACCGCTCATCTGTCATTTTGTCATGCTGTGGTGGCTTGCACGTTGCTATGACACTGGAAGCTATGTCACCAATATTTTCTATGCTACGATGTATAGGTTTGTGTGAAGCTTCCAGACTCCACCAAAGACAGATTAGGAAGAAGGACATAATGACCTATGTTAGTCTGGGTTGACTGGAGAACCAAATTCATAGACACTCATATATGTATGAGAAAGAGCGTTATAGAAAAGAGCAATTGTATATTGAGAAAACATCCCAGCCAAGCCCAGATCAAGTCCATAAGTCTGATATTAGCCCATATGTCTGATACCAATCTATAAATTCCTCTTCAGACTCACAGAACACATGCAATGACGCCGAATGCAGGAAGATCACAGGTCATTGGGTGGAAAGTCTTGTGGATCCAGTGGCAGTGGAAGCATCTCAACGCTGGCAGGGGTCTCCACATGGCTCCCTTGCTCCAGGGCTGTAGCACAGCTCCATGTGTCTTGCCAGCAGGAAGATGAAGCAGAGAGTCTGTGTGTATCTGGCCTCCAGTGAGCTGTTTATCTCTGTGGCACCTGCAAATTAGGTCATCAAGCTGTGACCTGATTGAAAAGCTAGACTCCACCCGTCACAAATTGACACCAGATTATGTAACTACCACAACCTACTTCTGAAATAATTGCTCAGTGAGGGCCTTATGACTAGCAGCAGAGCATTGTCTGATGTAGTGCCAGAAAATTAACCCCTCAGGATGAAAGGCACTCAAAATACTACTGAGAGAAGAGCTGCCTCCTCAGTGTAGAGTTGACCTTCTTGAAGTGGATTTGCTGATGCAGCATGACTCAACATGAGAGGAGACCGCTGCAAACAACTATTCGTAATAGAGCATAGAATGTAAGCAGTATATATCCAGGACAAATGATCCCTTCAGGACCAGTGCTGAGAGTGGCAATACCAGGAGGGTGGAGGGAAAGTGAGGTAGAAAGGGGGAACCAATTACAAAGATCTACATATAACCTCCTCCCTGGGGGATGGACAACAGAAAAGTGGGTGAAGGGAGACATCAGAGAGTGTAATATATGACAAAATAATAATAATTTATAAATCATTAAGCGTTCATGAAGAAGAGGGGAGTGGGGAGGGAGGGGGGAAATGAGGAGCTGATAACAAGGGCTCAAGTTGAAAGCAAATGTTTTGAGAATGATGAGGGCAACGAATGTACAAACGTGCTTGACATACAATGGATGGATGGATAGATTGTGTTAAGAGTTGTACGAGCCCCCAATAAAATGATTTTAAGAAAAAGAAGAAGAAACTCTGAAACATGTTCTTAATCCTCTGTAGCTGAAGCAAATGGAAGAAAGGACAAATTCAAGCAGCTGATAGAAAATTCCCAAGGGCACCTCGAGAAGTCAAAGTCAAATATAATGAAATGGGCAAGAATGTAGAATGAGAAAACCGAAAGGGAAGAACACGCTCAGATTTTCTGAAACTGAAAGAGCTCAAGAAAATTTGCAATTTTGAGTGATTATATAGGCAACATATTGAATGATGCAATACGTTTCAAGAGAAGATGGAAAGAATACAGAGTCACTGTACCAAAAGGAACCAGCCAACAGTCCATCATTTCAGGAGGTCACACATCAACATGAACCAATGGTGCTGAAGAAGAATTTTAAATGGCACTGAATTCATTAAACCAAAACAAGACTCCAGGAATTGACAGAATATTCATTGATATGTTTCAGAAAGAGGAAGAAACACTGGAAGCATGTCTATGCCAGGAAATTTGGAAGACAGCTACCCCACCAACTATCTGGAAAAGATCCTTATTTGTGCCATTCCAAACCAAAAGGACCCACGAGAATGCTCAAAGTATAGAACAATCCCCTTAATGCCACACAGAAGTAAAATTTTGCTTAAAATCTGTAAGAAGATATGGGTGGAGTTCAATCTGTCAATCAGGCCACAGCTTGATGACTTCATTTAGAGGTACCACTGAGATAAATGGCTCGCTGGAGAAGGGCCACTATGTCTCTTTGCGTTCACCTTCCTATTGAAAGCAACGTGGAGACCTGAGAGAGTCTTGTGATGCTTCCATTGCCATTGGATTCACAAGGCTTTCACCCACCAGCCTGTGAACGTCCTGCATTCTGCATCATTGCATGTGGCTTCGTGAGTCTGAAGAGGGACATATGGACTAGTATCAGACTGATGGACTTGAGTTGGATAGGGTAATTCTTGATATACAGTTACTCCTTGATATAAAGCTCTTTCATACTCATAAAAAAATGTATGGTCTTGGTGATAGAAACACCATAGAGTACATGATAAAAAATTTGCAAGACCAATGACATTCATTGAAAATACATTTTTAAAAAGCAATATACATGATGACTGGACATGTGGACTTCACCAGATGAAATACATAAGAATCAAATCAACTAAATTTCAGAAAAAGAAAATCAAGAAACTGAATATTGTCAGTCAGAACGAGGTCGGAGCCAACTTTGACACAGACCATTAATTCCTCATATCTAGTTCAAGTTGAAGCTGGGAAAAAAACCAAAAAGCCATGAGAGTCAAAGTACAACCTTGAGTGTATCTCACCTTAATTTAGAGACTATCTCAAGAATCTGTTTGACACGTTAATACCAATGACCGAAGACCAGACAAGCTGTGATATGACCCCAAGAGGGTCATACATGAAGACAAAGCGCAAACCAATTTTAAAAAACAGAAAGTACCAAACTGGATATCAGAAGAGACTCTGAAACGTCCTCTTGAACTTAGAGTAGCTACCATGAATGGAAGAAAGGGTGCCGTAAAAGAGCTGAACAGATTGCAAAGGGCAGACCAAGAAGACGAAGTACGGTGTCCTGGTGAAATGTGCAAATACCTGGAATTAGAAAAACAAAAGAGAAGAAGTCACATGCCAATTCTCAAGCTGAAGGAACTGAAGAAAAAAATTTTGCCTCAAGCTCAATGTTAAAGGATTCTGTGGGGGGAATATCAAATGAGAGAGGAAGCATCAAGGGAAGACGGCAGTCACTGTATCACAAAGAATCGGTTGATGTTCAACCATTTCAGGACGAAACATCTGACTAAGAACTGATGTTATTAGAGAAAGAAATCCAAGCTGTCCCGGCACAAAAAAAATGGGGGGCGGGTCATCTCCAAAACTTCATGGACTACCACTTGAAATGATTCAACAAACCTAGGCACCATTGGAAGTGCTCATTCATCTATGTCACGAAAATTAGAAGACTTGACCAATTGGAAGGAAGAGATCCAAATTTATGCCCATTTAAAATCAAGGTTATCCTACAGCATGCAGAAATTATTGAACAATGCCATTAACATGGCACACAAGTAAAATATTGCTAAAAATAATTCAAAAGCAGTTGTAACGGCTATTTGTAATAGAACATGGCAACGTTGAGAAGAAGAGGAATTCCAGCCCCCTTCGTGCTGCTCCTGCTGAACCTGTGCATTAGACTAAGAGGCACTTGTGTGAAAAGAACATGGAGATGCTGAATGGTTAAAATCAGAAAATGGGTTCATCTGGGTTGTATCCTTTTTATCTTGTTTATTCAGTTTGAATTCTGAGGAGATAATCTTAGAAACTGGACTGTCTGAATAAGAACACGTGGTGTCAGGATTAGAGGAAGACTACATGCATGGTAGGCAGATGACACTCCTTAGTGAAAGTGAAGAAGATTTGAAGCACTTACTGATGAAGATCAAATGCTTCCATAAGGATTATACCGCAACATGAAGAACACAAAAGCCCTCCCAATAAGCCAATAAACAGCATCCTGGTAAACAAAGAAAAGATTGGAATTGCCAAGGAATTCATTTTGCTTGGATCCAAACTCATTGGATGTAGTCAAAAAATCAGATGACATCGCATTGGGCAAATCTGCCAAAAAAGGATCAAAAAGCCAAGCACCAAAAGGATCAAAAAGTCAAGCTGTCACTTTGAAGGCTAAGATGCCCCTGACCTAAGCCAAGGTATTTTCAATGGCCTCATATGCAGGCGAAGACTGGACAGTTAAAAGAGGAAGGCCAAGGAAGAAGTGATGCCTTTGAAATATGGTGTTGGTGAAGAATGTTGAGTACACTCATGGACTGCTAGAGAAAAATTTAAATCTGTCTTGGAAGACAAAACGCGCCTGGGCATGTTGAGACTCATCTGCTGTGCTTTGGACATGCTCTCAGAAAGGACCAGCCTCTGGAGAAGGAAAGTATGCTTGGTAGAGGGTCAATGAGGTGGGATGCCACAGGGTCTCCACAACAGACTGGAAATGTAAGAACCGTTGTGGGAGTGGAGCAGGACAGGGCAGTGCTTTGCTCTGGTGCACATACGGGGTCACTGGGAGTCAAAGTCAGTCAACAGCACCCAAAACAGGCACAGTCTTGTTTTCACAAGTTCCCTTCCATTCTTTTTCAGATCTACCTGTTCTTTTTGCATCTTGTCCTGATTTCATTCATTCATTCTTCTTTGACCTTCGGTTAAAATGTATTTTGAGTTGTTCAATAATCTCCAGTTTTCCCCTCCTATTATCAGTAGTTTGACTCCATTCCGGAGCATAAGGCAAGGCATGTGAGATTTGTATTTCTTGGTTTCTTTTTAAGAAATACTTCCTGCAGGTCCTTAGATGGTCTTTTAAAATTTTTATTTCTGATTAAGAAATATTTTCTGAAAATAATGCATTCCAATTGAAAGAGATCTTCCTTGTGAATTTATGTATCAAATCCTTCCTTTAAAAAAAATAGTGATAGCTCTTTTGAAGATATCCACTACTTAGAATTACACACACACACACACACATGCACACATGTCCATGAAACAATCCTCATTAGAGATGGAGCTTGGAGGTTTCTGTGACCTATCCCTCCATCCACAAGAGCTGACGACCCTCAGTTTTGTGCAAGACTAGAACTGTATCACTGCCGCTCTTCGATCCTCCACTCATCATTCTCATCTCAATCCCCTACACGGGACACACACGCATACACAGAGAGAAGCCAAGTTCCCAGGGGCTATGAACTGTTGACCTCTGATTGGTCTGAACAATGGACCTCTGTATATTTTCCAACAGGTCCAGGAGGCCAAGGTGACTGAGGTGAAAATCAACGAGGCCCGAGAACACTATCGACCAGCAGCTGCCCGGGCTTCTCTGCTCTACTTCATCATGAATGACCTCAGCAAAATCCACCCCATGTACCAGTTTTCTCTCAAGGTGACTTACACTTGGATTTCTCTTCCCCACTTTGTGACAGCATAGCACTTCATATGAGCAACCTAAGAAGAGCATGTTTGCTTGCTGCTGCTATCCCTAGTTGGCAGGAGATGCTGGGGAAACATTTCTGTGGGCTGGAAATGATAATATTCTTCACAGGTAAGATGGCTGTTACATACAGAAAGGGTTGTTTAAAGGACCAACCTCCTGTCTCCTCTCCCCCAGGCCTTCAGTATTGTCTTCAAGAAGGCTGTGGAAAGGGCTCCTCCCAGTGAGAATCTAAAGGCGCGGGTGACCAGTCTAATAGACAGCATCACCTTCTCCGTATGCCAGTACACCACCCGTGGACTCTTCGAGTGTGATAAGCTGACCTACCTAGCCCAGCTCACCTTTCAGGTAAAAGGGGACTGAAAAAGATTCCAGAAGCTAGGTCATGTAAAGAAATTTTTTTCTCCTAACATCACTGCTCATAAACATGTCCAGATGATCAGTATCTATACAGAGACAAAAAAAAGCAAATAAAATGTAGTGTTTGCACATAAGTTGCCCCTGCCCCTGCACACATGGCAGACATGACTAATAAATTGTTGTACTTTTTCTTGCTGAGCTTGAATGATACCTCAAAAGTCTCATCAATAGAGCCTCCAGCACCCACTGCCAATCAATCCAAGTGTGTCCTTATACCACGGTCCATTGATAAAGGGCAGCACACAAAGACAGTGTTCTCATTTGGTGAGTAGTGGCTGGGGTCTTAAAAGCTGTTAACAGCCTTGTAAGATGCAAACATTGGAGGAAAGACAAACGATGAAAATCAAAAGACACACAATAGCAATTAGTGTAGTGGATTCATGAGCCATGCAAATGATCTTCACAACCCAGAGACCAAAAGAACTAGGTGGTGGTTGACTAGGACCCCATTAGCCGGTCCTCGATAGAGTGAGAGAAAGAAGTGGAATGGAATGTAAAATCACAAAAGAGACCAGGACTACTGGAGCCATAGAGACTGATGGGATCCTCACAGGACTATGGGCCTTACCCTTCAGCCCTGGAACTGAACTCATCCCCACATTAGAATAATCAACCATTTAAGATCAAAAGGGTAGCACTTATCCAAGAGTGAAGTTCAGATGGTTAGAAAAGAAGGAGAAATAGAAACAAAAAACACAGGAAGGAAGTGGGGTAAGTGGCGGTGCGATGGGAGGATTACAAACCTTGAATTGTATCAGAATGTGTATGAGTTGTTGAATGGAAAACGTTATTCTACTCTGTAAATCTTTACCTAGCTCGCAATAAAAAGGGGTTTGTTTTTTTAATTCTGGTTCTAAAGATGAAACCAGGAGGCCATCCCAACACTGAGATCTTTTAGAAATTCTGTAAGAATGTTACTAGAGTGCCTGCCATTCTTTATTTACCTGTAGGGTTACAAGTTTCCTGTCTCGATCTTTCCCTGGGATAAAAAATGGCACAGGTGTTTCTACAGACAGAGAAGCAGCCTTGACCTTAATACATCTGTTAACAGCTCTGGCTCTCAAGGATTTGAGACCATTGGGAACTTCCAATGTTGGTTTAGTTTTAGTAAGAAACACACTATATCACTTTAAGGCCCTTTTCAATGCTGAAAATCAGTAATTTGGGATGATCTCTATTCTGACTCCATATGCTTGAGTGGTCAGAAGCCTTGCTCATGGGTGAGTATACTTGTGGCTCACTACCCTTCTGTCCTCCGTGTCCCCATGCAAGCCCAAGTGGCAGCATGGCCTTTGCAAAAAGAACTTGAGCCCTTCTTGTCCTTAGACACCAAGTATCTTTCACCTCCATCCACCTTTCCTCACAACTATTCGAACTTCCTTTTACTTATCTGTTTTCTCCTTTGGAATTTTTCTTCAAATTTACAACACTATTTCCCCTTAAAGAGCATTACCATTGGTAACTTCACTACAGAGAACACTTAAAACTTGAAGAATGTTACCTGTCAATGGAGACCCTTGACTCAAATCATGTGCCACATGCTTTGCCTTACGACATACCACTTGAAGATCAATTGCTGCCAAGCCCATTCTGGTGTCAGACAGAACTGCGTTCCATTGAGTTTTCAACAGTAGATGAACCAAGTCTCCAATGTTGGTTGACAATAGTGTACTTCAACTGTCTCACTAATTACCTTTCCCAGATGAAGGCTGCCGTGTTCATCTCCTCCTCTTCCCAGAAAGCCGTCCTTCCCTATCGAAGAGTTCCCATTTCTCAGTTTCTGCAAGATGCAATTCAAAATTACTTGCATAAAGTCAGGTCAGCTTCTCTATCTATAGAAATGCCTGTGCTGTTTCTAATCCCTTGGGTCAGTAGTCACTGTCCTATTCAGGAAGTCCTTTAGCTTAACTGATTTGAAGCTGTTCTCCTATTTTCGATATATTCAAATGTTGGTTTGAAACTCAAGTCATGTAACTTGTGTGTACCATTGCTTCATCATAGAATGTACAAATTATGCCTTAAAAGTATGTACTCCACTACAACAGCGTGGAAAGATAAGAATAAAGGAGGACTCACACTTTCTATTTTCAAGCATACTATACAGCTAACCATAGGAACTCTGGTGGCATAGTGATCATGCAATGGACTGCTAACCCCAAGGTTGAGACCATCAACTGCTCTGCAGGAGAAAGGCAACAAAGAGTTAACAGTCTCTGAAGTGCCCAGGGGAAGTTCTGCCCTGTCCTGTAGGATTGCCATGAGTCAGCATCGACGGCAGTGAGTTTGGGCTTTGCACTATGCAGCTCACCTGCTGAGCTGGAAACATTGAGCTGCTAACCACAAGGCACGTGGTTCGAAGTCACTGGTCGCTCTTCAGCGTCTGCTCCCAGAAAGATGCAAGGTTTCAGGAACACAACAGGGCGGTTCTACTCTGCCCCATTGGGTCAATAGGAGTCCAAATCGACTTGGGGGCAGTGGGGTTTGGTATACAACTACCCAGCACTCATCTGTCAAGTTTTTCCTACTGTGGTGGTTTACATGTTGCCATGATGCAGAAAGCTATGCCACTGGTACTTCAAATACCAACAGGGTCACGCGCAGTGGACAGGTTTAGCAGAACTCCCAGAGAGACTAGAAAAACGAAACAGGTGGGCCCCTTCTGAAAAGCTGGCCAGCGTGCACCTTATGAACAGCAGCAGAGCACTGTCTGAGATCGTACCGAAGATGAGCCCCTCAGGTTGGAGGCCTTCAAACTAGCACTGTGGAAGGGCTGCCTCCTCCAAGTCCAATCAAGCTAATGACATGGATGGAGCACAGCTTGCACGATTTTCACGAGCTACTAGAACATGACTCAAAATGGGAGAGAGATAAAGGAAGAAGAAACCACTGTAAACTTCCTGTGGCAGTTAGACGTCATGTCAGCTTGCACTTCTCTGGGAGTGGAGTCCATCCCAGTCACAGCCTGGGAGGGGTAGCCCTTTCTGAGAGCCTGAGGACCTGCTTGCTTTCTTTGCCCCTTCATCTTCTGGCTTGCAGGGACCCTGGTCTTTTCTCCAGGGTGGTCCCCTGTTGGCCACCCAACCCTGAGGATTGTGTACCCTGCCAGGTTTCCCCTGACCTTGGATCCAAACATCTCTCCACCCGCACACCTATGGTCTTTCTGCGCCATCGGCCTGCAGATACATGAGTCCAAAAAGTGCCCCGCTAGCATCGGACCCAGGGGACTTACGTTGGACGGGTGGGGTGCCTTCGCATGTAAGATTTCTTCTTGATGTAAGGCTCTTTCTTATTTAGACATGCACATTACCGGTGTTGTTTCTTTAGACAGCCCAGCCCTTCCACACGTCCATGAATAATTGGAAGGTGGAATGTATGAAGTATCAGCCTAGGAAAAATAGAAGCTGTCAAAATTTAAATGGGATGCTTAAAGATTCAACATTCTAGATATTGGTAAGTTGAAATGGATAGGTTTGGGCCACTTTGAGCCAGACAATCATGTGGTTTGTCGTGGCAGGAATGATACATTGAAGAGGAATGGTGTCCCATGCATCTTGAAAAAGAACATTTCAAACTCTTCATTGAAGCGCAATACTATTTGTGATAGAATAATAGCCACATGCCTACAAGGAAAGCCAATGAGTACAATTGGTATTTAAATGTATGCACCAATGACTAACCTCAAAAATGAAAAAAATTGAAGGAATTTACAAACTTCTGAAGTTGTCAGACTTAAGAACTAAATGTGTTGATAATGACTGATGATGAGAATGTGAAAGCTGGAAACAACGTGAACAGATGGGGGTTGGAAAATGTGGCCTGCCGATGGAAACACAGCTGGAGATCACGAGAGAATTCCGCAGGGCCAGCAACTTATTCATTGCAACTGCAGCAGCATAAAGGCACTGAGTAGACCCGTGGACCTTGTCAAATGGAATATACATGAATCAAATGGACTATATCTGGGAAAGAAATGATGGAGACGCTCAGTATCAGTAGCCAGACCAAGGCCAGAGGTCAACTGGGAAACACACCGTCATCATCATCATCATCACATTGAGAAGACAAAGTAAAGCATCCTGATGAAATGTGTAAAGACTGAGACTAAGAAAACCGAAAGAGGAGAACATACTAAGTAAATCTCAAGTTTGAAGAACTGAAGAAAAAATGTCATCCTAGAGTGGCAATATTGAGGTATGTTATGGACAAAATATTGAATAATGCTGGAAGCACCAAAAGAAGATGGAAAAAAATGCAAAGTCACTGTACCAAAAAGAATTGATTGACATTCAATAATTCCAATATATAGCACATGCTCAAGAGTCGACTAAGCAGAGAAGTCCAAACTTCACTGAAGGCCTTAACCAAAAAAGAAAAGAAAAGAAAAAGCTCCAGGTAGTCTAGAAGAATCTCGATCAAAATGAGGAAACTACAGAATCGCATTTCAATTTCTCTTGGACTCCAGTCTGCCTAGGAACATGCAGACTGGATAATTCCTTAAACTTTCACCCAGAGTTTATCTTTCAACCTTCTACCAAAAATATCCCATGACGCCTTTTATAAACAAACAACAGTTTAGCGTGATGGTTTTGGTTTAGTCAGATGTGTCTGCTTGGACTATTACGGTCTTTTAAGAACTAGTTCTATGGGATCAAATTGACAACAGCAATTTGAAGGTTAGAGAAGCACCTTCGAGGGCCGGGACTTGGTAAAGAAATTACTCAGCAGACGGGGATGAGAAAGGTTGCACAATGTGAAGAATGTAAATCAATGTCACTAGACAGTACGTGGGGTGGGGGGTGGGGAGTCTATACTTCATATGACATGTCAGGCACAAAAGAACAAACATTGTATGTTCCTACCTATAGCTAGAACAAATACCAAGACACCAAGCATTGATGTAGAAGGAGATAGGAGTTAGTAGTGAGGGGTATTTTTTTAAATCATTTTACTGAGGCCCCTTACAGCTCTCATAACATTCCATGCATCAATTGTATAAAATATATTTGTGCATATGTTACCATCATGTTTCTAAACATTTACTTTCTGAGACCTTCATATCAGCTCTTCTTTTTTTCAACCCCCCACCCCAGCCTCGTGACTCCTTGATAAATTATAACCTCCCCCCACCTCCCCCTTCCCCTCCTGGTATCATTACTCCCGTTTCTGATCCTGGGGGGGTTAATCTGAGCTGGATTCAGTGTGTCATGAACTCTTATCTGTACCAGTGTACATGCTCCAGTGTAGCTAGACCTGAAAGGCAGGACTGGGGTCATGATAATGGGGGGTGAGGAAGCCTCAAAGAACCAGAGGAATATTGTGTGTTTCATCGGTGCTATACTGCACCCTAACCCTTCTGTGAGGGGATGTCCTATTTTCTACAGATGGGTTTGGGGGGTCTCTGCTGCAAGCCCCCTCATTCTCAACAATATATTTTTCTTGTTGTTTTGGGCCTTCTGGTGCCTGTTACCTGATTCCGTTGATACCTCATGATCACACAGGCTGGTGTGCTTCTTCCATGTGGGCTTGTTGCTTCTCTGCTAGATGGCC